AACCCTCTTAGTCTCTTTTCCTTGCGGATTTGGACTTGTCCTTTGTGCCCCTTCCACGGCCCCCTGTCCTTCCGCCCTTGGACGGAGGCTCAAGCGTGGAGAATTTCGGGGACTGGATAAAATTGCTATAAACAGTCAGAAAAGGTTTCAACTTCGGATCATTCTTGGGCACATTCATCTGTGCCAGGACACTGAGGCCCTCGTTCAGGTATATACGGGCACTCTTTTGAGTGTGCCATCGTCCTTGTAAGAGGATACGATCTAAATTGTGATGTTTCTGGAACCAATATGTGGCCCCACCCCTCCTAAGGGAGTAGGGCCTGAAGCCCAAATGCTCTATGCCGAGGCCGGCCAAACAGGAGTTAAAAAGGGCACGCCATTTGGCTGGTGCCGGGGTCAGACGGGTACTCGCAGAGGCCACCTTCTTCCAGGCGCGCAAAAACCTTACCACAGGCTCCAACCCGAGGACAACGCTCTCGGCGGCGCCGTGCCGTTTACCTCCCTTGGTGAGACCCAAGGAGATAAGAGCTTGTAGCTGTCCCTCAGTGCATTGAAAATGGGAGGAGGCTAAACCCAGGATTTCCCCAGTCCTCAACATCGAGTAAAATCCAATTAAAAGTGACAAAGCAAACGAGACCCAGCCATGGAAAAGGCTCCATCCGGCCATGGCGAGTACTATATGCTCAGGCAGCGGCGGCGCACGAGAGGGGATCTCGTTAGCCTGCCAAGTACGCAGGAGCCGCCACGCTCCCGGCAGGTTATTCCGCAACCCAGGTTGTGAGTCCTGCAAGGCTGCGAGGGTATCGCAGGCCTGCGCACGGCCCTTGCCTTCGAACCATAGAGTCTCCAAGTAGTCACAAACAATTGGGTCCAACTGTCCCTTGTCCTTGGGCAAGTCCAGTCCTTCAGCAGTCAAAAAAGAGAAAAACCCTTGCAGAGCTTTATCATATCGCTTCCTAGTGCTTGGCTGCACCGTAAGTTGCCGCAATGTGCCCAACCGCCGACGTATCTTCCCGCGCTCTTCTGCTGTAGCTGCTTCAAGGTGCCTCTTCGGCATTCCGGTATTTAGTGCGCACCCGCCCACCCCGACGACTGGGTTTATCGGCGGGGTTACTATCCGTGGCCACATAGGCCCAGATGACTTGAGCATTGCTACAGAGCAGAAGCGCGTTAATGCGGAAGATAGTCGCACGCAACTTGCGAGAACTGGTTCGTCCTCTCGTAAGCGCATGGAGGCAGACCAAGCTATCCGTGAGATGCAACATGCGGCAGCCAAGATGCCCTTGCTGTTCAATGCGCCAGCGGACTGCGTTGAGGATGGCTCTCATCTCCAGGGAATTTATGTGTTCCTTGCCACGGGTCCACCGCCACCCAGATACAACCTTCCAACGCCAGAGGCGAGCCGGAACTGAGGCCCTCAAACGATGAAAACGGGTCATCTGGGTAGTAGGCGTGGTCAGTAGGATGTCCTCCCCCTTGAGGCTGATCAAGTTTGCCAGCTTCCATGCCAGAGCTCCCTGCATACCAAAACTTCCCCTTGCGTGCGACAGAGGCAAGCGAATCAGCCGCTCCTGAAGGGATGCTGCTGCCCCCGGCTCACAGAGGTCCACGATGTCCTGGGGCGACATGGGTGGTGCCATGCCCAGCTGCCGCAACAGTTGGTTCAGCAACCAAGCAACCACAGGTACACTCCAGCTATTACCTAGGAGCGTTAGACGCACGTCGTTGGTCGAGGACAGTTTGCGCTCACCTTTCGGCACGCAGTTGGTGGTATATCCCAGAGGAAACCCCAGCATCAACTCCCGTTCCGGTACACTAGGAATACGGAGATCGCCTCGCCTATTGACAACACAATGCACCTCCTGATATTGGTATGGCGGGAAGCGATGCAAATCGGCTTGCCACCTCTCTAAAGCGCCGGGTGAACAGTGCCTCAAACCTGCAGGCTTCCGCCCCGGCACCGCTGACGGTCGTGACGTGGTGAATGTAGGAAAAGCCTTGGTATCCACCACCTTGTACCATCCAGGTGCCACCACCTGCCGAAGTTCCTGCCCGGCCACCAGGTGCCAGGAGCTGACCTCCGCTCCCGCCGACCGTGTCGCACCCGGCTCCTCCACTAAGTCCCATGTGGTCCAGTAGAGTCGTGGCCTATGGCACCAAGTCATCTCGCCCGCGTCGATTTGCACCGGTTGTCCCCCGAAGCCCTGGCTCATGATATCACGATCCTTGGCATCCATGGAGCTTACCGATTCCATCAGGACATGGACAGCCGCCCATGGGAAAGCCATCCGAAGCTCATCCCTGATTCTCGGGACGTGGGTAAACAGACAAGAGCGCTCATCTTTGAGGGCCCCCCGACGGTCAGTGTTGAGCCCAGACACGCCCTGACACGGCGGTCCGGCGCCTACCAGGACCAAGCTACACTGCGAGTACCGCAGACTCCAACCCTTGATCACATCAGGGGTGATGCCCGCTACATCCTCAAGGTGCTCCACACCAGGATAGTGAGACTCCACCACACGCCGAGCTTGAGGATTCTTCTCGACTGAGATGTACCCCACGACCTGAACACCTTGAAGGTCGACAGCAACCCTTAGCGCTCCGATCCCGTCAAAGAGCCCAACCACGAGCACCATGTGCTCCGACGGTGCCCGAGGTAGGCGCCCCCTCAACTCACCGCTAGCGGCCATGAGCCCAACCGGTGTAAGCCCTCGAGAGCAGCAAACTCCTCCCCCGGTAGTTGAAGCATCGCTGCAAGTGGCCATGGCATCGACCTCAAGCCTGAAGTTCATGCGAATGAGCGGCAGCATCCCCATAAAACGCAAGAGCTCCAACCGACATTCAGGCGGCAGTGCACGATGCACCGGACCTCCCTCATTGAAGCTCTCGATGAAGCGCCAGACAGCATTCAAGGCTCCCAGGGTCGGCCGCCTAAACATGGCAAAGTAGACGAAGCCCCCGCACACCACTTGAAGTTGTCGCTGAGTGACCAATGGCTGGTGCAGCAGCTTCAGTGCCAGGCTGTAATACTTACTAAGCTTGGACTCCTTCGGGAAGGCCAGACCCCGCACACCATCAACTGTTGCACCCTGAAGCTCACAATGGGCCGAGCGCGAAACACCTTTCTTGGCGTTCCGAGGCACCTGCCACTGAAGATACTCTGATCTCAGTGCTAAGACACCTACGGGCGTAGTCCCTTCGAGCTCAACCATTCCTGTCGCCTGGACCTTTTCCAGAAGGTCATAGTTGTCCAAGTAAACCCTCCATGCCGAAGACGACACCGTGAACGGCCTATCCTTGCGCAGCTCGCACTCCTCATGATGCACCTGATCGCCCTCATGACACGCCCATTTGACCAAGTTCCTGTGCACGTTCTGTGCAAGGCTCACGGAGTTGAGGAACCCCATGGGTAAAACCCTGGAGGCCAAGTAGACGTTCTGTCCCCGCATGTGCTTCGGCAAGCACACGTCAGGGACACACTTGTTAAAGGACAAGTACTTGACCCATGCATCTGGCACCCTCATGGTATAGAAAAAACACTTCACATCTTCAGAAGAGACCAAAAGGTTTTCGCCAGGTTGCAAAAAGTATGGGTTCATCATGCCCCACGAGGGTAGTGTGTCGACGTCGCCGGAAAGGGGTTGAGATATGGCATTTAATGGCACTAAATTCATAATGAGACGGCAAATCTCCGTCCCGTCTTCCGTCCACTCCTCCTTGCCAACAGCGAACAACCCGTTCAGCAAAGGACCTTCGTCAGTCTGGAAGACCTGCTCCTCCTCAATGAGGGTGCAAACACCCGCCTCAAGTAGGCCGGTGCACAGGCGTGGCCAGTCAACGTCATCCACCATGACTTTGGGCCTGGTGACCTTACCCCACTGCTCCCAGGGTTTAATGAACCCATCAAAGGAGCGAACGTACTCCCGACACCCCAAAGTGCACACCTCCTCAAGTGGCACCGCCCCGATCTCTTTCGGGAGGGCAGGAGCAATGCTGGCCCAGCTGACCTTCCTGGCCACCCGAACTTCATCCCCTTTGTAATCGATGCCCCGTACCATGAAGAATTGGTCCCAATCAATCCCAACCAGATGCAATCCTAACTCACAAAAACGTGTCACATCCTCTTTAATGAATTCCAAAGCCCTTTTCTGACATCTCGTAGGTTCCCGATCAGCAAAAATCGATTCTCCCCAAAAGGAGTTCAACGACAGGCAAACACAGGTGACCCACTGAAGAACCTGCTCCGGACAATCAGGCCACAGGTGCATAAACACATGTCTGGAGGTGGGCAAGGGCAACAGGGCGGAACTGTCAACCTTACCCGTGGACTTGCTGCGAAGCGGTAGAACCTCCAGAAGTTTTTGCACCAGGAACGAACCCGATTCCGAAACCGACGAACCGACAGGTCCCAAATCCCTCGCACTTTTTTCTGCTGTCATCACGACTTGTGCAGGTGCAGCTCCCTCGCTACCACTTCCATGAAAAGAGGGTGGTCTTGGCGGGAACTCTTGAAACAGATCGGCGCCCGACATGGACACCTCATCAGCCACAGTGCTAAAGACTCCGGCTGGCTTGTCATCGGAAAAATGCCCCAGTTGCTCCTGCCCTGAGCCGTGTCGCTCAAGGTCCAACCCAGCGCAGCTCAACCGTAGGCCTCCACAATCTCCCTCATAGTACGGCTCCCGCTCCCAGGAGCCAGCCTCTACTTTGCTTCCTCCTCTCTCCTCTTGCCTTTGTCCTGCTTGCCGGCACCTTTGCCTTTGCCTCGATCGCGATCTCTCCTCCCGGTCTCCTGGCCGGTCCCCTCCTTGCTCTTGCTTTGTCCCTTGCCACGGGACCTCCCATCCGGGAGTGAGGCGAGATGCCTCGTCTTGGCGTCTTCCGCCGCTGCCCGTTGAGCACTCAGCAACTCCTCCCTGGGAGCTATAGTCTGAAGATCCAAAGGGGGGATTTCCAGTCTCTGGGAAACGCTCCAGTGAGACCCTGCCATGGTCGCCTCCACTGACTTCACGCGTTGAAGGAGGCAATCGACAGCCTGAGCGGCTCTGCCACGGAGTAGCCAGTCCACCGCTGTGCATAGTGTCAGTAGCTCCCTGGCTACCGGCCCATTGCTCTTTCGCTGGAGCTCCTGACGAAAATACTGTATGGCGGTAGGTGTCACCAGCTGGCTCTGATCCTCGAGTCCCGCTCCCTGGAGGAGGACCCTTCTCATGTCGGTCAACGAGCGGGCTCCAAGAGCGCCCGGGCAGCTCTCGGCGACCCTTTGCACCTTCGTGGCACCCTCGAAGAAGCCCTCCTCCTGGCCGATGTCGATCTCCTCGTCCCTCTCCGACGAGGAGCTCCTGCTGGAGCTCCCGGCTCTCTCTGCCTTCTTCCTCCTGACCACTCGTCTCGCCTTTCTGGCCACCCGGCGCTGGATCTTCTCTCTCTTGTCCAGCCCCGTGCCTGCGAAAAGGGCTTGCAGGCTTTTGGCCGACGCTCCTCGAGGCGTGGTGCCATCGGTCCTGATGCCCATGCTCGATGTGGATGAACTCTGGTCCTCTGCCTTCTTCTCCTTGTTGGCTCGCCCTTGCTCCTCCCGCTGCTTGGGTTTTGAGGGCGATCGTGACCTCTTTCTCTTCTTCTTGCCACCTGGGCTTCGCTCCTTCTTTCTTTCCTTCTTCCGAAGACCTCTGCTGCGGTCCTTGCCGCGTGAACGACTCTTCTCCTTCTTGTCCTCGCCGAGCTCCGCACGCTTCTCGCGAAGGTCTTGAAGCTCGTCGCCACCTGGGGTCTCCACTGCCTCCAAGTTCCTGCACCAATGCTCTTCTTCTCCTCGGGGCTTGGCCAAACGCATCTTCTTGATGTGGATGAGGTCGTCTGCAACCCTGTCTCCTGTACACGCCGCCCCACATAGGTGGCCCCGGAGCTGACCCTTGGGAGCTCCGGTACAATGGCGAAGAAGACCCTCGCAATCGGTCCCAGTGGCCTGCAGCAACACATGGCCCGCGTCGCGGTCCACCTCCACCCCTCGAATGGTCCCTGCCACTTGACAAGGGGCGTTGAAATAGCTGCCCTCCAGGATGACCACGTCGACTCCGCGGGCCAGTTCGAGCAGCGGTACGTCCTCGGCCTGAAGCACGTGCCCTTGCTGCCACAGCTCCCGAGGCACAGGAGCTCTGTCTCCTCCTGGGTGTCCTGCCGGCCGCCGAAGAACTCCTCGTCCACGATGCCTCAAAGGTGCAACTCGCCCCCCTGCTCGTGCCTTGGCCTTCGGACGAGCTTTGGGCTTGGCCTTCGCCTTGCCTTTTGCCTTGGGCGGCATTGCTGCCACTAGCGGTGACGAGGCCAATAGCGGCCTCTCTCCCTGTGCTTGACACCTTTCGTGCCTCTCTTGCGATGCGGTGCCCTCTCGATGGACCTCGACCTCTCACGCCGATGCCGTCGATCACCTCTGCCGTCGTTCCAACCCCGCCTGCTAGGTGGGGGATGGTCGGGACTCCTGGGCCTCTTGGGCGCAGGTGGTGGTGGTGGCAAGTCGTAGTGGGCGAAGTGCTTGGCTACGGTCCCCTTTGGTGCGGGGCGTAGATTGAACTGGTTGGGGTGATGCTCAACTGCACGATCTTTCACCTCAGTGCTCGTTGCAGGGTCGCTCAAGTCAACAGCAGTGCTCCCAGCACCGGTCTCCTTCTCTCCTCTCCTCTCTCTCTTTTCACGCTTTGCCTTTTCCTTCTTTCTTGATGGCCCGCTCTTGTGCTTTCGCTTCTTTAGCTTCTTTGGCTGCTCCTCCTTCTTGACCTCGGCCGCCTCAGGCTCCTTCTCACCTTCACGCACCAACTCAACAGGCTCCTTCTCCTCAACGTGCTCCTCCTTGGGCTTCACGTCAAAGTTCCCGGGTGGTACCTCTGGAGCTGATGTGGTAGGCGACGGAGGTGGTTCTTTTTCAGCCTTGGCCTTGACCTCAGGAGCCGCCTCGCTCCCGGCTGAACTTGGTGGGTCAGCTGCCAACCGCTCCGCCTGCAGGGCAGGCGCTGCGAGCTCGGCCAAGTCCTGGAGCTCGCCAACCGCAGTTCGCAGGATCAGGAGCGCTGCGGCCTCCTGACTGCGAAGCAAAGTGCCGCCTCGACAGAGCGAGCGGATGCGTTCCACCGCCCGGCACACCGAGCACAACGAACCACCGGTCCTCTGGCCAAGACCGCACTCGGCGCAGGCCATCCAACACTGAAAGCCGAAACGCTACAAGACAAAACATAAACGAGCATCTTATACCCCGGGGGCGTTTGTACATATTTGTTTTCTAAAAAAAAGGCATAACTCTCGGGCCACTGTGCAATCTACAATCATGCCTTTATTGAAAGAGGAGTTCTTCCTTCTGCATGCCCGCAAACAAGCTTGCAGATGAAGTATGGACTCCCGTGTTGATCCTCTGGCAGTGAAGATGTTTACAATACACCTATGCATAGGCTATGCAACTCTTCCCCAATTTTCAGCTACCAAAAACCCTCCCAAATAAGCTTCGACTCGTTCAGACCCGACTGCTCCATCCCACTCAGCCGCCCCACGGGGGTTGCGATCCATGACCCTCGGCCGTCGCGGCGGGTCAAGGTGCCGTCCGAAACCGCGTGGTGCTCCGTGCCACGTCGACGGACTTTCACGTCCAAAACCAGCGAGGCGTGGAGGCGAGGACATCCAATGATCGTCGGCCAGTGGAGTCCAAAAGGGCTGTATGCCAAAATCACCTGGCTGTATAGCTGGGGCTGACCGGCAAAATACCCGCAGGTAGAACCTTCTTGGAGTTGAGAACACAATATCCCATAGCAGCACCAAAAAGCAGCTGTGCCGTCACCGGACTCTTGCGGTCCAAATGCAGAGTGTTTTTCACTCCCCATTGAATTTGAGAACTCCATGGATACCAAACTAGGGCCACCGAGGTGATCAGCTGCCACCGAGGTGCGGTTGGATGATTTCTTGGTCGAAGTCGATCTTGACACCTCCGTTCCGGTGGGGTCGGACAAAGCACGTGGATGCATGGAACATCCAAACCACGTGTAAGAATGGACCTGTCCAGTTTTCGAACCAACTCAATCAATCCAATCTGGCAAAAACCGTTGAAACCACTGGTTCCAAACTACGCGTACAAGCAGAACAAAGCAGCTGCAGGGCTCCACCCTTGCTGAGGGGCCATAGAACACTTTACGTCATAGCGACGCTCCTTTCTACCTTGGCCTTCCGACCCACAAGGGAGAGAACTCTTGGGCTCTGAGAAGCCCCAAGGGGTGGAGTACGTCATGCCGTTACGATCAGCTGGAGGCTTGAGTCTTCCTCCACCAAATCATTGCGCGTCTGTGCTCACACAATGCAAGTGGTAATGACTAATGATTGACTAATGCATTCTGGCTATCCAATCGCAGTCGATGACTACTCATACTTAATCCATCCCTTTGTCCTTAGAGCAGTCAAGGGCAAGCACAGGTGGAGGAAACTGATTTTACATATATAAAGGTTTCTATATTCTGAATTTGGCACACTATATGCCATGTATAGTTATATACTTGGATGAGCATACAGTTACACAGTATATACGGATAAGAAAACCAAAGAAAATAACATTGAACTTGCATTGAACATACATGCCGTGTAAAATGGTTTCCTGGAACCTGGACTCAGGTTCAGCTCAAAGGTGGAGACTGGCGGCACTGGCACCGTGTTCGACGATATTCAGCTGAGGGGGGTACGACAAAAGCCGGTGCGCGGCAAGTATGGCTTAGGCCCCGGATCACTGCACTGCTCTCGGTCAGGCCCCAACAACGGCTGCCACTTCTTCGTATGCCCCAGGGCGTGAGGAGCTATGTGACTTCTTCGCTTGGGCACCAGGCCATTTCTGGTGAGTGTTGGTTCGGGTCTTGTTCTGTTTTGACGCCTGGGTTTGCCCACCTCAGTGGTTTTTCACGCGGCAAGAAACCCTAGGGCTCCACGCTATCTCCCACCACGTTCCACACCCGTGGCCGCGGCACATCCAACGGCAAGTCCTTAGGAGTCTTGACTCGCAAGCAGCGGTGGTGCAGCCGTCGGCGCTTTCTCCGTTTTCGGATTGTTCACCGGTCATTTGGATGGACCTTTTTCAGTAGCTGAAAATGCTGCCCTCCGTAGAGGTCTTGACCCGCGACTCAAGGTGCCTTATGTAAGGCACCAAATGTCTCGAGACCATCGAGATAGTGGAAATGGTTTATCCTGGAAAATAAATGGTTCTGGTTCTTTGCCAGGACAAGAAGTTTCTTTATGAATGGCTCAACTTGAAAGAATGACGCTTCTTGCTCTGGAAAAGTTACTTGAGAAATCCTGACGCGGTCGAGTTATCAGAGGTGGATGAATTCCTTTTGGATGCATTTAGATGCTAGATCTGCAGGATGAAAGCCTCTTCTCTTTGTCTGACCCTGTGGTTCTCAGCGCTGGCAAACGCTTAGCAAAATGAACAACTAAAAAAATGGGTTGAATTGATTCGGAATTCCTGCAGAAAATGAATACAAACACATACAAACTGAAGAATGACCATGACAAACCAAAGATCAACCTCGACTTCTCAACGGCCAGCGCCGTGCTCCTTCGTTGGCTAGGCTTCCGGGCCAGCACTGTGGGAGGTTGCGAGTCGGTGACCTCCCGGCCCCTGGAGATCGCGCGAGGCATGCGAGGATGGGACAGGAAGCAACGGAAGGGGGCCAGCGGTGTGTGGCCTAAGGCTTATAAGATCTCATAAGGACTAGGCTCCGAAAAGGCAACACACAGGAGGTGCCTGGAAAAAGGCCTGCAGAATCCAACAACAACTGCTTTCTACAGAATGTTTTATAATGTATTGTCAATCCTGCCCAGGATTCCAGCTTCAGGTTCTTTCTTCCCGTGCTTTTGGGGAGCGCTCTCCACAACACCATCACCGAGAGATGCGGTTTGAAGACTTCAACCTCATGCATCTCAAGCGGCGAATCCAAACGACTCTCGGGAGGGGCATCACGGCCAAAAACCAAAGAAAACGGACCACACGGAGAAAACATCAACAGCAAGCAAACTAACAGGAAACACGCATAGATAGATCAGCTCTAGAACCAGCCCTTTACATATTCCCCCCCTTCCATCACAAGTCCCTTTCGGCGCACCAGTAGGACAAGTCCGGCTTCAGAAGGCCTCACAGGGGGAGGACTGATTGAAGGAAGCAACTGGGAGGGATCACCGAACACCCTGGGCTTTGAGCTTGCGAGGGCCTATCTGTCCAAATGCTGGTGATGTTCCTTGTCAGTCGCGAGTGCCGTGCATTTGACTCATGAAGATTGATCGACTTAGGGGCCAGAGTGCACCGCACAGCAGGAGATCCCATTCTCATGTTGAGCATCACAACTAGTGACTGTGAAAACAAAACTCTAAGGATGTCAGCCTCTTGCATCTCTTGGAAGCAACTCTCTCATTGGAATAAATTGTCTGGCCTGAGTCAAAGCCATCCCAGCATTGCAAATAATTAGCGTTGTTTTCTGCCAACCCTGGCGGCAAGTTCTTGATATCCTCAAGGCAAACATGTTTCATTTGGGGGGCATAACTCTTCAAACTAGTCTACCCGTGCACGCGCTTCAAACCACACAAAATGTCACTAAAACTCGCAGCCACACCTCCCAATCTCCGGACCCTTCCGCACTTCTCGCGCCCATAGCTCCGGCACTCGCGACCCATCCGCGAGTGGGGCCTCGCGAGAACAGCGACTTCTGCCAGTAGGCAAAGTCCGTGAACTGCACGGGCCTCGGTGCAGTCTGGTCATCCGAGGTCGGTGCCAAGTCCGTGCACTGCCATCCGGTTCTGTGCCGGTCTGGGAATGTTTGAGGCAGACAAAGTGGGTTTGAAGTGGGCTGAGGATGTGAGGAAGGCATCTGAATCTGAACCCAAGAGATCTGGGGCGACAGGACGGCTGAGGAGCTGGAGGTGACAATGGCCACAGAGTCGGTATTGTCTGTATTGGATCCATTTGGTGAGAACTCGCGGTTCCAATGATGATTGTAGGGTTGAATCCAGTTCTATCTCTTCTCAACTCTGACAACATTCCCCTAGAACAAGCCAGTGCGCCATAAACCCGGTGGGGATCCTTGGTGCACGACCATCCCTCAGGGTAGATTTTTGGATTTCTGCCATCTACTCGGAAGTCATTGTGAATGACCCTTGGCAGTTCCACCGGGCTGTCGGGCAGCTTGGGAAGTCTCTCCTTCACAGCCTGCAGAGACGCAGGCCCTTTGGTAGAGGGGCACTTCGAATGGGTAACAACGGCAACACCAAACATGTAAGCACAGTCACAGTAGCACACCCCCTCCACCTCAGCACTCTCACGCCTTTAGCCCTGATGGATCAGATCTAAGTGGAGAACAACCACGAACACCCACTGGGTGATCGTACATTTGGTACATGGAGCTTGGACTCATGGCTTTAGGTTGGCCCAATGGATGATCATCGCTCCCGCTGTTGCGCTGTGGATTATCCAACCACTAGGAGCATCTTGTAAACTACTATCTGGTACAACGATGGACAAATGAGCAAACCGCTGCAAAAGCCTTTCAGTGCGCCTTTCTCAGTATTGCTGAGCCCAACAGCCAACATCTTACACCTTTATTGTTGGAAGTCTGCGATGTTGTCCTTGTTCCTTATTGGTTAAAGCAAGTCTAACAAAATGCAAGAACAAATACTACTAATACGTGTTGTATATATAGGTATATACACGTCAAATATATATATATATATAACAATATTCACATACATATGTCCAAAAAGAATAGCACAAGAGTAAACATGATAAAGTAAACCTAATATGGCAACCAGAATTCAATATAACAATAGCCTCCAAAGTGTTAAGACTTCATTTACGTCAACATTAACACGCATGTATTTGTCCAGCCCGGTCCAACCCCACAACTCAGCACTCCTCTTTAGAGAAACCGTAGTACAGAAGCTCCTGGCCGGGAGGAACCAGGTGACGGGCCTGTGAGTTTCGCAGAAGAATTTGGGCCAAGTCTGAAGGGTGGGCAAGAGTCTCAGAAATGATGATGGACATGATTAAAATTAAATGCTGGTGTCAAACATCAACCAAATATCAAACAGCAAACAAACAGACACACGCCGCGAGTCATTGGAGAGAAAGGTTTCCCAGTGCAGGGTCACCATGCTCTACGAGGAGCATGTGTCGACAAACCAGAAGGTTTACATGAGTGTTTTTGGTGAGTAGCTATGCAATTGTGGCGTAATCTCTCACGTGACCGGCTGCCTGCACTTGGAAGGACTCTTGCCAAAAGGTCATCAACGCGTCGTTGTCTGCCTCAAGAACACTTGGTCACCGAAGAGAGCCAAGCCCTGTTAGAAAGTCAGATGGTCTTGGGGTGGCTGGGCGATAGTCTATATATATATATATATGCGAAGCTGTCAAGCCCTAATTCAATGGCAATGGTTCTCCTTACATGCTAAACACACACATATATATACATATATACACATGTACGGTGTACGTGTATGTTTTATATACCGACAGAGAGAGAAAGAGGGAGAGAGTGTGAGCGTGAGGGACACCACATCAGCTGCTAATAGTTAGTTTATGAGCTTAATCCTGCGCCCAGGATCATTTTGGTGACTTGCTGTATCTACCTCGCAGGTTCACAAATGTCTCTGCAGGGCTTTGACAATCAATCGAGGTCGATAAGTCTGCACAAACCCGGGCTGCCCCGCCAGGATGTGATGCATGTTCACCTCGCCCGATGGCGGGGAGGGCGGTAGTATTGGGCAGCATCTGGGCATCGTGTTTGTACCCAAAAACCAGCTCTCGCATGGTACCTCTCGACCTGCTACAGGGCAACTCCTCATGGGCCATAGGTAGACTATGTGATACGCACGTTGACTTGGGTCTGACTGTCCACTGGGCCTGTTTTGACGCGTCCACTGGGCCCCTGGCATGTAAGGCTGGAAAGTTGTCGCTAGAGGGCGTGTAGAGCATCCGGATCCCGCTGACACCTAACCTCGGCTGAGCAGCCCAATGATTTGATGTTCGTTTAGGTTTCAGTAGGTGCATGGAATCATTTGCAGCTAAAAGTCCTAGTGATAGTGGCAACTGGGATCCACTGGGCGTGTTACATTGGCTTCAGGAGACAGCACCTTGCATCAGCCATCTCTGTTTCCTTTCGCCGATGCGGCTCATGGCACGAGGCCTCCAGTTCTTTGAAGCGCTCTCAGCTGCTTTCGGAAGGCCTCGCGCGCCTCTAGGCACTCGGGGCTGGCGGCCGCCAAGGCATCACCATCGGGGGAGTAGCCGTTGAAGTCGGAGCTCATGAAATTCAGGTAGAGCACATGCCGAGCAGAGTCCTGACAAAACATGCTCATGACAAGAAGCAAAGCAAAGAAGAAAGTGTACAAGTTGGGTGGGGAGAGATGAGCAACAAATGCATCCCATGGAGTTGTTTGAGATCTCTGTGATCGTGTGCCTTCCAAGCATTTGTTGGATTTCCTGGATCGTGCAACTCCGTTGTCCAAGGCTGACATTCCAAAACGATCGAAGGAGAAAAGACTTCTGTCTTTGGTACCTTTGGAGACCTGGTAGGCTTAGACCAGCACCAGTATGTCACATGCATATTTGAATCCATTGTCAGTTGACAGTACACGATGATGGTTGTTGTGAACCTCTCCCCAAGGCTATTATAATGGAACAGTGGGTCGTTCGACGATGTTCAACTGATGGCTGCTGGCTGGCAAGCTACAGTAAGAACTTGGATAAACCCGTCAAGAACTTCCCTTCCACCTTCCCCCTCGGTATCGCCGTGCATCAAACCCGGTCCTCGGTATTTGCCATGCCCCAATGGATCGTCCTGGAGTCACCGTAGAAAACGGTACTGTATTCAAACCTGCCTTCTTGAAGCAACAAGCCACTCGTTGTATGGAAGGCAGACATCCTGGCTTCGCCAGTTTCCCCACTTTTCTGGCATGGCTGGCATATCTATGGGAATCTGCACCAAGGTAAAGGAACTTTGAAGCAGTTGCTGGTCAAGGAGCCAGAGCTCAAGTTCCAGGCTAATCTCCACTCTCTGTCCCTCCCTGTCCCTCCCTGTCCAGGTCAAGAAATGCCGCCCTCACGGCCTGGAATCATACATGATCGCCTCTCCCAACTCCAGTGGCGCGCCCACCAGCAGCCGGGGCCCCTCCACACTTTGCGGCGCCGTGGGGCGCCGCAGCACGCGCAGCCGCAGTGGCACGTGCAGACCCAACGGCGGGGAAGAAGCGGTGATGCGCCTGATAGGATCTGGCAGGATCTCGGTCACACGACAAAGTCTACTCTGGGCCATGGCCCAAAGAGTCCACGATCCCACACTGAAGATTGGCGTTGAGGGTGGCTGTGCCATCTTATCTACATTATGCTACGCTCTGACACTACTGCAGGCTGTGGCCGCTTACCTTCGCTAAGCACCTTCCATAACAGCCCAGCATCAAAAAATGATGCTCATTGACCAGGTAACAGCACCCTTTACAGAATTCAAGATGGGACCGGAAAGGACATGCTATGTCCGATCCCTTCTGGGACCCATCACTATCCGTTAGGCTCCGGCATCTAGCCCTTAGCACAGTCCAAGCATCTTGTACCAGGTCATAAAGCTCACATCGTTGACCTGCGCATCTCGTTTCAATGCAAATTGAGGCGTGTCTTCCACACCGGCCAGCCACGTCGAGCTTGGAAAAAAAGAAAGACCATGTAGGCTGAGTGACACTGAGTGAGTGAAACAAATTGAAGGATTCCCTGCCACATGGGTGCCGGCCCCCTGATTTCCCAACCCATTCGATATTCCACCGGAATATGGCATATGGGCGACGGGAACTTCCGCTGTCGCACGGTTGAACCAAGTGGCCGAGCCAACCGAAAGCTGGCAGGGAAAGTCAAGAATCCCATTGGAATGCATCTCTGTCCATTTAGGGAGTGTTGACCTAATTACCAACCGTACTATGCAACTAGACCGGCAACAAAAGTAGAAGAAAAAGTAAACTTGTTGAAAAAAACGCCCAATCTTTCTCGAAGCGACGTGAGTGATCTCATCTCCGACTTCTAAGCCCAACGCTTCCAGGCTCAGTCCATCTTCCAAACGCAATCCCCGCACCCGGCAGTTCCGCTTGCCCAGCCGCAGGTCCAATGTCTCCAGCGGATGGCGTGTGGAATCCCACTCGACCAGGAGGGCTTTGCGCTTCAGGATGGTGCCGGCCACGAGACCTTCAACGAGGCCCGCCGACCACCGGGGCAGGAAAAAGCTCTATCGTTACATGATCAAGGAAAAAGCACAAACAACTGATTGAATCTTCTTCCACTGCTTCAGATACACTGGGTGAAGATTCAAGACAAAATAGCTACAATGAAAGGATTTATGAATTCAGATGTTCTATAAAAGTAAAGATTTCTAAAAAGAGTCACGACAGGGTAAATGTTAAAATGAACTACCAAGTATTATGAATAAAATGTTGACTACTACTATGTCCAAATTCAACTGAAACTTTAGACCATGTATGATAATAGTACTACTATATTGATATATATATATATTGATATATGTTTCTGCTGAAAGAGGAAAGTCAATGTCTGAGGGGCAGATCCTGAGAAATGGACGGATTTGTTGTTTGTCTTTTGTTTGTTTTGTTGTTTGAGATTTTGGTGACTATGTCACACAGACAAGAGATGCAACGGGAATAATTAGGCAACAATGACAACAATGAGATAATGAGATAGTAGTGCAAGATAGTAGTACAATATAAATAGGTAGAATCATGTGCAAAATGCGCACACTGAGGGCGTGCTGTTCTGTTGCCGGAGGATTTTGCGGGGTAAATCACTGATGATCCCAATCGTGCGCCTTCTCTCAAGGGCTTGAAATGTAGCTTTGGCTGGGGCAACTATCTCGAAGGTTGCATGATCATTGAGCTATTGTCTCAATCGGGAGCTGCCTCAGCCAATGATGTCTCTGGGGGCCTTGGCCTATGATAGTTCCCGACTGGACCTTTGAAAACGACGAGAGGCCACATAGAGCAGCCCGCCTTAAGCCTTCCAAAGGGTCTCGAATAAAGATCTCTACTGTAAGTAGTGTAAGCGGAGGGTAGTCCATTGTGCTGTTTTATCCGGATGACTCTTCGCTGAAACGTCTAAGTGGTGATAAGTGATAAGTGATAAGGGGTTGTCTTTTTAGTGTGTTTTTCTCCATTCTCCGCAGATATCGTGGAGAAAAAAACATTCACTTCTGAAACCGCCAGGGAAGCGTCGCTTCCGTGCATCCATGGGCGACTCGCCGTTGCAGCGCCACTTCCGCACCGTCGCCGCCGCTTCGTCCAACAGCTCTGGCTCGTGGTGGGTGGCCACACAAAGGGACCTCGCTACGAACGGGGCAAGGACGCTACTAGGAACAAAGGGCATCGCTACTAGGAGCAAGGACGCTACTAGCAGCTCCTGGCATTGCGCTACTTGTAGGTTGCGGCCTTACGACTAGGAGCAAGAAGCTACTAGTAACAAAAGGCATCGCTAGCATTCGCTAGCAACAAGGACGCTACTAGTACGGTCCGTCGGTCCGTCCACCGGGTGGGGAAAGCAACATCCCGGTCCTGAAGCTCATGGAGCTGATGGAAGGAGGTGGTTATTTGGGTTCCTTCTGCTTGGTCGGGCCCTCAGACTCACATTCACATGACATGGAAAGCGCCCTGCTTGGACAGGAAGATTGAACTGAGGCCACTTACTTCATCTTATCATCTCCAAGTGAGTGGAGACAGAAGACCTCCCCCGGGTCTTATTGTTGGCATCTGAAAGGGCGATGATTTGCAGATGTCATGGTTGGGATTGTGAGTTGGGATGGCAAACTCAAGCAGCAATAAACCTCAGGTGAATGCATTTCTTCATTTCTTCATTTCAGCCCTCTCAGCCAAACCCTCCTGAAGGGGTGATCGGTCAGTTCTGAATTGGGACCAGACCGGGCACCCAAAACAAAAAAACAGGCTTTAAGGTCCTCAATTGCAGAATCATGGCTGTAACCCATGTGTTCCCCTGTTCCTCATTTCTACGGTTTGTTTTTGCAGCTTTGAAGCCAAGAATGGGTGTCCAAGACTTTTGTTGAACATGTAACATGCCTTCTCGCAGACCGGGAAGGCGTTCTCATTGTCATGACCTGACCAGTTTCGGGAAAGCTCGATCGACCTCTACTAAGGATAAGTTCGCCTGGACGAGCCTTCACATGAGCAGTGAAACAGGACTGCAAATCTCCACTTGGAGTTATATATTTGAAACTGCGGATTTTGGACACAGCCAGAATCAACTCCAGATTGGCGCAGGCTGACCCAAACTGGTGTCGACTGGGCGAGGGAAGCAGTCGAGAGTTTTGTGCTTGGAATGTTCGCATTTGGCTGCAAATCACGTACCATCCAGCCAGTGGAACAAATGAGCCATCCAGGTGTAAGCGTCCCATGATTTCCCGGCAAATAGTCTACCATCCATATGGATTCCCAACTCATCAAGCATTTATGGGATTTTCCCGCCGGCCCCACAGTATCTCTAGGACGCTCATATTCGGACTGGCCACAGTGGAGCGAAAGTCTCTCGCAATGGCTGCAGTGGGATGTGCACTGAGACGCTGCCATCGTCCTCCGTGTCGGTGTGCGCGTTCTGTGCCTCGGTGTTGCCATCCACCGTGATGATCAGCGCGCTTTCCAGCTCGAAATCCTCAGCTTGGAGGGGCTGCCTCTGTTTCAACGTGTTGGGAAGGGGGAGGCTGCCTCTGTTTCATGAGTGGAGGTTGCCTGGCACGTTCTACCCTAAACTTGGGAAAGGAAAGAAAGCGAGTTAAGCACAAAGGTATAGATTGAAATATGTGCTCTCAAAAAGTATACAGTAATATATGCTATGCAACAATGGACGCATATGTAATAAGTATGCATAGATACAAATATTATGCATAACTATTTAGCGAAAATAACTTTTGAGCAACACGCCCGGCCCATCAAGTTCTCACTTCTAAGATTTTCCAGCAAGGCTCCTCTCCCAAATATTCGGCCAATACCTCCAGCAACTCACCATCTTCGCCCAGCAATGGCAGCCGACTGAAGGGCTCCCGGAACGGCAAATGCACGGCGCGACGGTGGCCCCGAAGCTCGCCGAAGACGAAGGTCTCGGCGTCGGCCTCCGACAGGTCCTAAGTGGTGGAGGGCTTGTCAGCTCGGTCGAGGGAGGGTGATACAAACAAGTCACAGCTGATGGCTGGCCTGCGGTTGACGGTTGCTGTTGCGCTGTCGTTTGATTGCGGTGGTTCCGAAATGTTGCCAGGCTGTTGACATCATTCCTCTCGTTCTTGGTCTTCTTGTCATTGTTGTTGATGGTTCATGTTGATGCTGGTGCGCACACACACACACACACACACCTCACTCAAGCAGCAAAGGCTTCCCAATCCAGTCCAGTAGGGAAAGACAGCACCTCATCTCGCAACCTCACCTCTATAGTCTAACTTCGGGGTCCTCTATGTGGAGAAGCCAACACCTGTCACAACCGACATCGTTTTTCTTCCAAAACCCCCTGACACAGCAAAGCCTCCAGGAAGGAGTCTCGAAGCTCAGCAAGGCGGGCCTTGTCAAAGGCGCCCGGCACACATGCGGTGCCCAAGGCATAGAGAGTCTCGCTGACGCCTTCTTCCACGGTCTCCTCTCCTCGGTGGTCCCGCTAGACAAACATCATGAACATGTGCGTCCCTGAATGTTCACCCTCCCCAAAAAAGGAATGCGTGCTCCTTCCCAGGGTGTTGTGTTGTAACATTGTTTGAGTGTGAATTTCAGCTTATGGAACCACCGACGAAGCAAAACCAAGGTGAACATCGACGAATCAGAATCCGACTCCTAGCGACAGGTGGAGATTTGACGGTTAAAGCCAAGTGCCCTTGCTTCAGGTTCCTAGCTCTACTAAGAAGCTATATAACATGAACATTCCACACATCTTCCCAAAAATAGAGGTCATCTTGCCGTCTGCCTCTACACACTCAGTGCGGCCTTCCCCCCAATCTGAAAGTCTCAGAAAGATTGTGAAAACCAAAAAGGACTCCTCATCACCTCCAGGTCTCTCAATGTTTCCATTGACCACGCCTGGTGCGCAGACCGCCACGTGCTTCGGCCGTCTGCCCCGGCGCCGCCGCGGCCCACTGCGCCGGTGAAGCTTGGACATCGGCTCGCGCAGCTCAGCGCGAGCGTCCACGTGACACCGAGGCGGAGGGCGCGGAGCGACCGCACCAGGCTCCATCGGTCCCGGTGCATCGGGAGGTTCAAACCAGTCCCGGGCATGGACATGGGCATGATAAATGCCACAGATTTGCAGAGAGGTCTTGGAATCTTGGAATGAAAAGAGTCGTCTCCGGGTTGGAAGTGCATGAGGGTTTACAGGAGAATGGCTGCCGATTATCATGAATCCAACTGGGGCCAGACGGAGGGCTCATCCATGCATGCACGTCTGATTTCAACATGTCACTGTCGATCCTGCATCAATAGTGACGCATTGTGTCCGGACAGCTTGCAAAATGAATGGAAGTCCAGGAGCACTTCAACTAATTTTAGGTTGCATAAGCATAGACGTGCTACTCTGGTCCCACTACTCCTTTTTTTACCCACCAGAACCCTCTGAATCAAGGCTCCACTGCCCCGGACATCCAACCGGGCAGGTGGCCCCACTGCCGTCGCCCCGTGTGGCGCCCCGTCCAGGTCCGCGGGCCGATGTGGCGTGGCGTAGTCCATCGCCGCGATCGCCTGCGCACTGCCCTCGTCGGGCAGCGCCAAGGCATAGAAGCCTCGGGTGGCGGCGCAGGGCGCATCCGGGCTGGATGATGTGGTTGGTGCAGATATCTTCAAATCTAATATGTGATTGATATGTGAGTGATTGTTTTGAATTGTTTTGAATGGTTTGGTGGCAAAACTGGGCCACGAATTTGACCGATCGTTTCTCCAGGAGTCCTGGTGGTCGAAGAGGGGTTCTTCTGGGCCAAACTGTTGGGAGTTCATCGACAATCGCGCTTTGAGTCTAAATACGTAGGGAAACACGCCTTCGATATATTTCTTGGATCTGAGCAATGTCTCCCTATATGCTCTATGACCGATGATGGTCCACAATTCCCTTTAGTGGGCTTTTGGGTTACTCTTCGAGCACCAGCTGCAAGTTATATAAAAGGGTCGGGAGGTTGAGTTGGATATTGGAAAGTCGCTGAAAGCACTTGAGAAGGATCTCTGGTCACCCCTTCAGGATGCAGCAGGTTTAAACTCTCTCACGTACACTCTCACAGTGTGGATGACCCAGAACCGATTAATGATGGGAGATACCGCTGTTGCAACGTGCACACCCGAAGTCCTAAAGCTCCTGGTGGGCATCTCCACCCCATCTCGCCCTCGGATTCCCCACCTCCCAGGTGATGTCTCATCACCTGAAAGCGCACGTCACACGTCACACGTGAACGTTTCGTCTTCGAGTCGTGGCGGGTCACATGAAACGGTCCAAATCGGGTCACATCTCCCCTCCCAACCGCAGCACCCGCCACGCCTTGCGTGTGGGGTTGTTGGGGTCCTCCAGGCTAAAGGCGCTCCGCAGCACTTCGTGCCGCTCCAACTGGGCAGACCCAAAACAGGTCGATCAGGTATTGGGACTTGAGGTGGGATGAGGCAAGAACGGGTGGGTGAGAAATTTTTGGGTTGGTTGAATCCTGTTTCGCGTTCTCTGGGTAGTAGGTGCTGTCTTGGGGCGGTTTCTGATTGATGTTTGGCGGAAGGTGGTGTGAGTTGTGAATTGCAACTGTTAGCACCCTACTCTGATTTGGGCCGTCCATTTTCAAAAGCGAGTGTATGAATATCTGGCCGTCATCCACACCGGGCGTTGGGCGCCAACGGCGTCCTTTGAAACCCACCCGTTGGCGCGCTCGGTTTCCACTGAGGACCATTCGATGATCCGGTGCGCCATTTCGCACCTCAGTGCGCCAAGGCGCACAGTGCAGCGACATGTCGATGGGGAAACAGCGTTTCAACAGTGCCACATCGATGAGCAAAAATCCTTGCTCCTAGTAGCGTCCGATCGCTCCTAGTAGTAAGGCCAGGAGCCCCTAGTAGCGTCCTTGCTCCTAGTAGCGATGCCCTTTGCTCCTAGTAGCTTCTTCTTTACCTTTGGTGGCCAAACATTGGTCCTTCTTTCCTTCTTTTCGATGCACTGATGCCGCTGGGGACTGCCCTTGGCGAGTGGCCCGACTTGTTCATATATCTCTCCTGGTCACTGATCAGGTCACCGACTGCATCATGGAGCCAAGCAAACCACCTGAGGTTTCCCACTGCTCCACGGTCAACGGCACACGGCTGCGTTGCGTGTTGGAAAGGTTGTAGGCCTAGGCCATCAGAACCGTCACTGCTGTGGGACTTCGTGGATCGAGTTCGAAGATCGTTGGGTGGGATGTCTATGCTTAACACTCCTAACAAAGGCATGTGGACACCAAAACCATCCCAAACCCACTGGCTTGTAGAAGCACCATCCCGCTCATTCTTCACAACTGACCTGAGGTCCATGGCCATGGATCTTGGATCCGTCACGAAGAGCCGAAGCATCTGTTCCTCGTTGAAGGTCAACGGATGCGCCAAGCCTCCAGTGTTGAACACGCATCGCCGCGTTTTCAATGGCTCAAGCTGCCAGAGGCCGTGGACAAGGGACCCCGGATTTCCATCGATCACTGCTACCAGTGCTACCAGTAAAACACACTTTTCTCCTCTCGGAATCCTGCGGATGGACGGGTGCCGGGGCCTGGCATCAAGCGGATGGACGGCACCGAGACAATGGTCTGGCGCGGGTCTTTGCGCTTCTTTCGCTTCAGCCTCAGCGCAAACCCCTCGGACTCATGGGGTCCAAGCAGCACAAGGACGGACCATGAGGGTAGGCCTAAATACCTGTGGACAAACACTTTCTGATAGGTTTATACCGTTATACCAATCCATACTTGTGTCTCAGACGCTGGGTGATCAAAGCATTTCTCAAACCACACCCTGTTTTTAGCACTGTAGGCAAGCGGGGGAGCAATGTGCAAGCAATCTAGTGGCAAACAAACAATGTGGAGATCTTGGCGTGAGATGATTGGCTTCAGGCTGCAGGGTTTCGTTTTTTTGAAGCTCGCCCCAGCCCTCCAGATTCCTTCAAGCTCATGGACTGCAGCTCATCTAGCTCATCGTCGCTGAAAAGGGTAGACACCGGCAGAATCGGCATCACCTGAGCTCGCGCATTGCACAAGAGTGGGACATCGATGAGCATTCTCCACGTGAGGTAGATATCTTTCTTCAACAGCAAGATCAAGCCAGTGTGGTTCGGGAAACGGCTTGCAATCTGCTTTGTTGGCAACCTAGGCCGGGGTGCGAAGCAAGTGCTGCTCATTGACGGAAACGTCTCTGAATTCAATCAGCCCGCTCTCAACCACAACTGCCGCTGGGCACCCCTGCGTCAAACGAGGAGCCCTTTGGCTCATAGATATACGGACTCGGCATTGACGGGCTCAACATGAAACCCAGGTGCGGACGGAGTTCAGTTGGCAACTGTCCCTGCAAACAACCAAGTAAGCGACCGGTTTATTAGGACTAAAGTTCTTTGCATGCTCGAGGAGCTGTTGTTTTTAAAACGGACTCGTCCGTGGGCAGCTCAAACCTGGTTCTCTAGACAACTGTGGCTCACCTATCATAAGTGGCAGGCAGGTCAGGGTGGTCGTACAAGTGGGTCCGGATAGAATGATTAATGATTTGCGCTTTCTGCCAAAGGAGGTTCCTACAATGGAAGCCAACCAGTCACTCCCAGAAAGAGCAAGGGTCTATCCACTTGCAGAAGGAGAGTAGGCCGAAGGAAATCATGGAAATGGCATGAAATGGCATGACAGCTACCTCTGCAGTTTGTCTGACCACCACGCGAAAACCTGTGAAGGCCAAACCAAATCGATCACCACCTTCTGAACTTCTCCAACTTCGTCAATCTGCATGCACCGGTCAAACCTGGGGCTGCCTGGCATCGATCGCATGGTCGCAGCATACAGTGCCTGTGGCACCGTCAGAGGGTCCTCCTCTGGCCTGGGCCGCTCGGAGGCGGAGCCATACCTCCCAACAAACAATGCACCTGTTCTAGAAGCGTGCCAGCCCTTCTCACCATATTTCAGTTGCTCCAACCCTTGGTTTTCGTGCCGTGAAGAAAAAGCCCACCAACCAAAACAGCTGAAACTCTCCTTGTCCTTCGTAGAAAGACCGGAGTTTTGCGGGGTCGGGTCCGGACCCCCCCCAGCATCGGAGTACCAAGGCGCTCTTCGGTGAAGGCGCGCAGCACCAAACGCCGCACCTCGGAGCCGAAGAAGCCCGGCGAGACCTCAGAGCCGCACCATCGGTGATCGGTGTGAAACGGGGAGAGATCATGTTGAAGGGAAGGTCCGTAGTAGCGAACCTCGTTCCTTACGGCCAGGAGCCCCGTTCGTAGAGATCGATCGCTCCGTTCGTAGCGATGCCAGCAGCCCCTAGTAGCTTCTTGTTGGGCGATCATGGAAGTCTGTGTTTCGGGCATGCCCGCTCGTGAGGACAGTTGAAGACACGATGGAAGGAACTACCATGAACCTGGGCCTCACACCACCAAAGGCCGCACCGGCTTGGCCTCAGGGTGAGCTAAGGCACTGGAGAGCGGAAGATTGGACATAGATAAATGAAGTCAAACCGAACTCTTCTGGTAGCTCGGGCCATTTGGGCAACATGAGACAAGGGAGGGAATCTCGCTTGAATGACCGCCCGCACTTGTAACGTACAACTTGGCACAGCATTGCTATCGCAGCTGAGATCCGCACTTTTCTGACCTTGCCCTTGCCTTTGCCTTTGCCCTTGCCTTTGCCTCGGCACCGCCCATCATGAAGAGTGACTCAGACAGGTTCTCACTCCTCTGGGGCTTTCTAGACACTGAGCCGACGACTGAGGCTGGGAGCTGGTGCAGGTGGCAGTTCCTGGGAACAATAGATCTGCCAAAGCCCATCAAGCACCCCCCAAAAGAGGGTTCCGGCATAGATCATCCGTAGAAAATAGAGACGCAAGACTTCCAGGAGAAGTGGTGCCTCTACAGGTAAGACCTATCGCGGTCCGACCCACAGGACTTAACAGGAAGTTCTGGTGCGACACGGTGCCAAATAGAGAGTTGCGACATGTCCGCCCTGCCTGCGGCATTAAAGGCCCCTCTTGTGGTTGGCCCATGTCCGTCCATCCTTCCTTCATAGTGCCCGGCAGTCCCAGGCTGTCTAACACAAACGTGAAAGTCTTATAGCGTGGCTGAGGTTGGGCTGTGAAATTGAAAGTAACCACCAGAAACGGCAAGCGTTCATGCGGCTGAGAAAAAACTAAGGCATGCCGTAGCTGATTCGAATTCGATAAACAAAGCTTGAGCCACATGAACGCGGCGCAGCTTCATTCACAAGGCATTGGAGCCATTGGACCCCCAAGCCGTCCCAAGAAATGTCATGTGAGTTGGAACTCGCAGCTGGCCTACCAGAAAGGAAACACCTGCCTGGATGTTTCCCTTCTCTCAATCTTTGCTAAATCTGACTCTCACACACCTGTCCTACAAGCATGGCTCTGCTGCAGGCATGACTCCGGCAAAAACAGCCTCTCGCAGTGTTTTTCCTCCCCACGGATACCACAGCTCAACATGTGGAAATCATCTTCAATCCCTCCGGCGATGAGGTTGCCCCTCAAGCACAGTTTTTCTGTGCACCCTTTCACCTGCAGTGTTAATCTACATTGATTGGTTTGGGGGCACCCTAAAATGACCTACCTACCACCGTCACCCGCAGCAATTCGATGCCTTCTGCTGCATCAACATCATCTAGGTCTATGTACAAATGACGCCAGGCATTTGCCTGAGTGAGCTCACATGGGCGGCCACTTGAAGCTGGCCTCAGCTGCGCATTGTGCAATGCCTAGAGGAGGGTGCGGACCTTCATTGGCATTATTGACTTGAAGCATGCATCCTTCATGAGACTCTCTGGGACCGAATGACTGCGCCACACACCACCGCAGACTGAACAAAAAAACAAGCATACGGTATATATCCTCCCGTTGCCCTCAAGCAAGTTGTGTGCTCTGCTGTAGTCATCCCACTGGTGGTGACTTGTGGATCGAGCGTTCTCCATTTCGAGCGTTGCATTGCGATTTTCCCGGACAACAGTGTCCTCCCTCTTCGGGAGTTAAAAATCATCAGACCATTCTAAAGAGTGGGTCCAGTAACCACGATTGTACGAAATCGGTGGCAAACCAGTGCAAAATGGCCAGCCTGGCTCGGCCAGGCTGGTTCAGAAAAGAGTGTTCTTTCGGAGGTTCCTCACAGTGGTCGTTACTGATGCCAAGCTGCTTGGACCACTGTGGAAGGACTGTTTGACCCTCCACCGACCAAGAATGAGACATTACTTGGCCCTGGGTGAAAACTAGACATTGGTCACTCAGCTGAGCAACAAAAATCGTCAGACGAGTTCCTTCAAGCAGGCCTTCTTTTTCCTCTATCTCGTCGGCCAAATCCCACTGAATCTGTGGGACTACTGACTACTGCATGAGGTACCCTTTGATGGTTGACATCATTGCTGGGCAACGCCTCGGGTGGTACAGCAAGTGCCAACAACACCACGCTCACCTCTGGAGCATCGTGAGCAGTTTCACGAGCGAGGTATAGCAAGCGTTCCGTGACAAAATCCTTGTCAATCGTAGACAGGCTGCCCATGTGGCGGAAAATCCGCGGTCACTCGGTGTGGAACGTCTGCATTTTTTGAGCCGTAACGGCCTTGATACAAACTTTGCACTGAAAATGCACTGGAAACTGCAAAGACCTATGACGCAATCGTTGTTCCGGCTACAAGCAGGGTTGGATCACAACTTGCCTGCAAAACAAAAACATACAGAACGGCGCTTTGGGCATCCCTCTCTGCATCTTGCGGCAAGAAACCCAAGTTCCAAGCACGACCCAGGGTTTTGGGACCCAGGTTTCCAACCCATTGAGGGCCCATGCGGCTAGAAGCTTTGCCCGTGCCATGCCCTCTCCCAGACTGACACCTGAAAGCAAAATAGTTGGTGCCTTTCTTAAGACTCTTTCCAGTGCTTCTTCCGGCACACGGAATCGCTCCAGCCCAGCAGCTTACTCCAGTGCCTCCTTCAATGAAAGGCGCGCCTGCACACCGCACCAAATCCCGTCGAACTGGGCCGAGCTCGGCGTCGACGAGCCCGGGACCGGAATGTGTACAAAACTGCAGGACAAGAGGCAAACGCCTACAGGTTTGCTATAGACAAGTCTACAATACGGGTTCAACCGGGGATTAATTCGAAAGTCCTACTTCAAGCTCATTGCGGATGATTTCTCACGTCCCAATTTAAAATCATTCCTAGGAGAATCTTCACCCTTTCACTGAAAGGCGCAATTGGCACACAAGCTCTGAATGCACAATCAAAAGCGCCAAGAGACCCATTCCTTCTCACCTCCCCAAACTTCACAGGTCCCCGAACTGACCCTCCGCCTTGGACAATTTCAACTCATCGCGCACCAGCTCCTGCAGCATGGGCCCACGCTGCTCCGGCTCTGCAGCCAGCAGCGGCAAGAGCTGCTCCCAGAAGTCCCAATCCAAATCTGTCGGCCTGGACCTGGGCTGGGCCCAGGTGCGGCCGCCAGGTCCGCAATGCTTCGTCAAGTTCAGCGGCAGTGCTGCATGTCGAAAGTGATTAGCGAGAGCGAGAGAGAGAGAGAGAGAGGGGGTCACTGATATCGAGAACTTCAAGGGCGGTTGGGGTTGGTGGTTCCCACTGGTTTTCTACCAGTAGACTGTTGCCTTTTGCACTCCCATCGTGTCAACACCAACTGAAGACTCGCTCCAGGCTGGCACACGCTGTCTATTCGAAAGGGGCTGACACACATCCAGGAACAAATTTGCTGAACCTACTGCGTTGCGGCAGGTCTGCCCCAAGCCTGTTAAGACATATCCTGGCCGTTACCAGATGCCAAGTGCAATACAATCACCTCATCACACCGACTGAGATCCTCCCAGCAGCTGGGCCAGGACCTGCGCGAAGGCCTCATCTTGAGACATGGTACCCTCCTGCACCGTCCGTCAAACCAGGCAGTGATTCAAATCAAACAAAACTCAAAGGATTTGTTGGAACTTCCTGACCCCAACAATTGCACAGAACTCTGGTGACATTTGCCACACCTCCATGATCTTCCGGACTTCCTCCATGGCCCTTCGTTGTTTCCGCACCATCTGGGTCTGCACCTGCAACTGCTGCCATGCAGCTGCCAAGATCCCACTGGAGATGCGAGGCGCCACCTGGAGATGCGAGAGTTTCAGCAACCGTGGATCTTTTAACATCAAAAAACCTTGTTTTTGTCACTGTCCACTCTGCCTGAATGTTTGGTGGCCTGCTTGCGGTCGCGGGGCAATGACTTGGACCCAAGCACGGCACGGAATGAACAACAGGCCATTCTGCAGAACCTGGTCTTCTCCCCGCAGCGATCCTACGGCAAACCCGAACGGTCGCAACAGGTCGGTCCCCAACGTCTGTTCCTCCAGCCTCGGTGAAGAAGCTCTCTGCCAAGTGCGGTTCCCCGAAGCTTACCGCTAAGCCCTGCAGCTGCTGCCAAGTCTCCAGCAACTCCGCTCTCCAAGTCTCAGCGCTCGGCACGTCGTTCGCTGGTAATGGTGGCTCGGGCAGGAGCTGCACCTAGCGCTTGGGCGATACAAATGAAAGAGGCAAACCACATTCAACGTCCCTACAAATTAAAATTGAAGGCTGGAAGCGGCAAAAGACTGCATGAAATGCATGTGTTCCACTATGTTCCAACAAATATGCGTGGTTCACCGGTTCGCCTTGTTTTCCATGATTCACTTGCATGAAATGAGCGCACCACAATGCACAACGCTGTGCTCTGTCATCTGTTGATCAACATTCCACCGCACACAGCTGGAGGGAGGAGGAGGAGGAGGGTGGGAGAGACAAATATGTTTGCAGTACACCGGTCGACCATCCAAGCGTTCCTCCCAAGAAGTGTCAACCGCGAGGCCTCAGCTCTCAAGTAGTTCACCTTATTTCCCTTGGCATCCGTCTCGAAGAGGGCCGAGGGGTTCAACAAGCGTTGGAGCTGCACACGCCCCTGCACTTCATGTTTCGCAATGTACTTCCTGGGCCACTCGACCGAGCCGCCGAAGACACTGCCACCGAGCGAAGCGACGAAGAGAGAAAGGAGGGACCTGGTGTCATGATGTGGAACCGAAATGTTTGGTGAATGTGTACGGTCAAACACCAAGCAATGGAACGCACAATGGAAACGATCCCGGTGTTGCTGGAGTGCCCGGTGGTCACATCCACCCTTCCGCAGAAACAGCAGCCTTCAGCGTTGTTCTTTTCACCCAGCGTCACATGGCCGCCGGTCTGCGCGCTGACCTCTTCAAGCTCTGTCAAGTACAGTAAAGAACCTCAAACACACAATCCGGTTCTTGCACGTGACCGTTCATGAGCCCATGATGACCACCACCTCGAAACCGGCCCGTTGCTGGGCAACGAAACAACTCTTTGCCGAATGTTTTTATGGTCATTTTTTGATTTGCATCATGGCATGGTTCTCACCTGCACTGCGCGCCGTCCCAGCAGCCCACTGAGAAAAGCCTCCGGTCACCCTCAGGCATCTTCGCATAACGGACTCGCCCGCCAGGGAGAGAACGAGTGAAAGCGACCACAAACCGCCGCGACCCAGAGAGCAAAATGTCATCGTACATCTTCCTGCAACAGGTCTCATGGTTGGGGAAAAAACTCTATGCCTGGGTGACTCTTGGGAAAACCTTGTACTCACCTTTTGGACTCTGACTCTGACACTTTCGAAGGTCAGTCATTCAAATGGCGTTGGACACTGCTTGCTCAGAGGCTGCCACCCGCTTGCATCCCGGAATGTGTTTTTTGTTTGGGAGGGCACTTTGGTCAATGTTTTCACTCCAACTGCTGAAACTCTAACGTCTGTATTGGTTGTCCGCCTGATGGGGGATTTAAAATGTTTTTCCTTTGTGTGAAAACAACGTGCACTGTCTGCAGCGGTGGTGACATTACTTACCTGCACTGGGCAACGCCGAGCAGGAAATCAGAGTTGCCCTGACAGCTCGCCACAACTAGTTAGTTGCTGTTGCTGCTGCTGGTGGTGTCGCTGGTGGTGTCGTTGCCAATTCTGTTGAAAACTGGGCACAGTAGCACCAAAACACGTGTCAGGAGGAACTGCGAGGTTTTTGGCTGGAGCGACATGCACTTACATGTGTACAAATTGCCAAGTTTTGGTGCAAACATGGTCCGCGTGCCGAAGCAATTCCGCACGTTCCTCACACCCTGGGCCAACCCAAACAAGCAAACCCTCTTGCTTTGCACGCACAAATTGAACAACCCTCCTCGCAATTGCTTGTTCCAAAGTTTATGGGTACGTTTTTTGGCAACCGTCTGTGCAAAAAAAATCGAATCGGCGTTTTTAATTCTGGAGGGCAAGCATTGACAGGTCAGTCCTGTAAGCTGGGTCAATGATTTGCAACGTTGCTTCGGAACCTGGCCAATAAACTGAGCTCAGTGGGAAAACCGGCAGCACAGTGGCAGACTCCGTTGGCTCTACGGCCGGGCCATTGTGCACAGGGAGCCATTGGGTGCCTCAGGTGGCGAGAACGGACTGTGGGTCATCAAACATGGCATGGAAGGGGCCCATGTAAATTGGAAGGTTGGCACGGATCGTTGGCAAAAATAAAGCCGGAAAACAATGCCGTTTGCTTGCATTGAAAAAGCGTTGTTTTTATTGCAAACTACCCTGCGGATAAAGCCCCCAACGATACGACCACGTCGGCGCAAGGCCCAACGTGAAAGCGCGCACAGGTGCAAAGTAAGGGGGCGTCAACCACTCCCCCCACTTGGAAAACTACTCCCCTTGCAATCTCGGAAACGTCGTGTCTGACACGTCCAATCACACACTCCCTTTGCCCTGGCTGCCCTGCACGTCCACAACCTCACTGTCCCATCCAATGTCGGAGACTGGCGTGTCTGAGTGGAGTATGAGCTATTGCCACACTCGCTCAGGCTGCGCAAACGGAATAGCAGCATGTCCGAAACGCCCACCGTTCGGGACATCCAATGTCCGAGAGTCCGAGACCTGGACGTCCGAGACGAGGGGGTGCGACATTACCACGTGCACTAGACGACGAGTGGCCCGAATGCATTTTTCATCACGTAGGATGTCAGAGTGTGAGTTATCTGTTAAGTGTGCAGTGTGAAGTGTTAAGTCGAGGGAGTTGAGGTAGTGTGTGGGTTTCTGTGTGTGTGTGTGTCTATGTCCGTGTGTATGTGAGTCTGTGTATGTGTGTGTTCGTGTAAGTTGAGGCAGTGCGTGGGTGTCTGCATGTGTGGGTGTCTGCATGTGTCTGCATGTGTGTACTGAGAGAGATACGACACGTGGAGGCGTGCTGCAATCGGACTGCCCAGCAGCGCTGCATTGTCGGCGATGGAAGCGTCATACAAGGTTGGCAGCAGAGAGGCAGCTGGAACGAACGCGAAACGAAACGAAACGAAACGCGAACCGAAACGCGAAACGAAACGCGAAACGAAATGCGAAACTAAACGAAACTAAACGAAACGTAGGTTTCCTGCTAGTAGCTTCTTGTTTACTAGTAGTAAGTAGTAAGGCCAGGAGCCCCTAGTAGTGTCCTTGCTCCTAGTAGCGACGCCCTTGGTTACTAGCAGTTTCTTGTTACTACTTCTTGTTACTAGTAGCGATGTATTTGTTCCTAGTAGCTTGTACTTGCCTCTACCTCGTAGGAAGTCAGAGTGGAACACGTTTGAACACATACATGTCTATTTCTGTGGTTCTCTCTCTCTCTCTCTCTTTCGTTTTCTTTCTGTGTGACGCATCTGGATACAAAGACGGCCAAAACAGAGACATGTTCTCAATGACTTTCACCGGACGTGGAAGACTTTTGGGTCTAATGCCTCAAGTTCGTTTCATGCGTTTGATGATGTTCCATACGTGCTTTCTTTTCATTATCTGCGCTGAGAGATTCTAGGCGTGAACGAAATAGCCCGCAGGCCTTCCAAACCCCCCACCGGCGGCCAAGCGGTGACAGCTCCCCAGCTACTCCGCGCACTACAGTTGTACTACACAGTCGCCAGTTCGCAGCTACTACCCACTCACCAGTCCCATTCCCCAGCTACTCTGCGTACTAAAGTTGTACTACCAAGTCGCCAGTTCTCATCTTCCCAGTCCCCAGCTACTCTGCGTACTAAAGTTGTACTACCAGGTCGCCAGTTCTCATCTTCCAGCTCCCCAGCTACTCCGCATACTAAAGTTGTACTACAAAGTCGCCAGTTCTCAGCTACTACCCACTCACCAGTTCTCATCTTCCCACTCCCAGCTACTCTGCGTACTAAAGTTGTACTACCAAGTCGCCAGTTCTAA